AAGCTGTTGAGACTTTTGCCTGAGAGATGACCACTGCTTTATCAGGTCAAATAACAGGTGTACGAAGACACAGCAAGACAAAAGAGTGCAGGTGTGCCTCCATCTGCAGATCTGAGATTCCAGCAAAGCAGGCAGCCATGACCTGAGACAGACACAGAAAACAGCTGTCTGCTGAACAAACACTAGCTTTGAGATTGCACCTGCACTAGATACAGTTTGCCAGTTCAGAAATACTGGGGGGGGCGGTTTGGGGATCACATGGCTACAGACATAGCGTGTCTAGCATAAATCTGGCTTTTCTTTACACATTTATCTACAGTACAGCCTCTCCAAGTTTCTCAATAGCTTCGCAGAGGTTACGTCATGTGCGTTATTTTACCTATATACTTACACAACAGCAGCAAAGTAATACTATCAGGAAGGACTGAAGAACACCAGCCATTCCCACCATCCAGGTCAGCCGAAGGAAGAGAATAACCCCGAAGATATTCTGCATGCATGGTAAATACACCCCCATCAGGGTGCCCATGCTGGGTGACTGAAAAACAAGTTCATTGCCATTTATTAACTGCAATTATTTAAAGCATAATAACTAAAAAAACCTACAATTTCTGTTTTTCAGCTGGTAGAAATCTGGGAAACATGAGGTAGACCCACACAAGTACTACTGTTCTGGTCACAAAACATGAAGCAAACTCCAAAACCACAAATTTCTGAACAAAATGCTGACCCTAACATACCTTCACATTTGAAGTAACTATACTCAGCATTTAACACCAATTACTAACAAAAGAACATACATGTATTTAGTTTACTGTAGAACCACAGAGTTTGTAGTATGAAACCTTCTGAGTGCTGCAGACTCAAGTTAAACAGATATTATCCTAATCCCTAGAGTTTACAGATTAGTTCCATGGAAAACATACCTTTGTGATGTTACAACTAGAAAAGACCTGGAAGCAGTCTGGAGACATCCATAATGTATTTGCTTCCATTTTATATATTTCATGTGAAACTAGTAATTCCAACCTTTCTCATGTTTAATGTTAGTATCAAACTCTGAATTACTTTTGACAGCGACTGAGAAAATACAAGTTAGTTGTGTGACTTCACAGGAACTGCATATGACTGGCATTCAACATAGTATCTTGTAGAATTATCCTTTGCCCAAATAGTCACTGTCAGAAGACAGTCGGATCGAAAACGATATCAAAATGCCACTGATAAGGGTTTTACTTCATGGAATACAAATGTGTTCCTGCACTGGCACACCTAGCACTAGCAGAGTTTCAGGGACTGAAACCTCTGTGGCTTCCTGCCAAGACATTCATGGCTTCTGCTCTCTGAGGCCTTGTTTTGCATTTAAAATTATACAGAACACTGAAACACAGGGAGAATAGAGAGTATAACTTCTCAAAGGCTCATCCCTCTTCATACTTCTATCTATAAATAAACCTGAATTCCAAACCCTATTACAGATAGACAGCATTTAAAGAAACCCATGAACAATCATCCAAATGAGAAGGGTATTAAAGGGAGGTGACAACACTTGTTCAAATTTGACTCTACATAGCATTAACTACAAGCAAAAATAAACAGGTCACATGCACCCTTATAGAGAAATTAGTTATGAATCAAAAGCACTAGTGCTTAAGACAAGCATATTACTCTTTAAATGGCTGTCAAAAACTTTGTTCTTGCCTTGTCTTCATTATGGAAAAAATTAATTACCTTAGGTATGTCAAGAGTATACTTTATGACACAAAGCAAAATCCTAGAAGAATCAAACGGTTGCAAGATCACCAGGTTAAAATAAGCAACCTATGAATGTAGTGCTTCAACTTGGAATTACATGCTACAACGCGAAATCTCCTCATCAGCATTAGAAATCTGCCTTGCCAGAGACGAAGGAACGCTGTGCCCAAGAATACCATCTGAACAGTTCTGTGTTAGAAAAGCCAGAAATTGCCGACTGAATGTTTTGAAGTCAGCTTTGAATTCCCTGTGTGACTAAAGCTAAATCAGATCAACCAGACTTTCCCCATAAACACTTTGCCTTGGGTGAACCTCCTGAAGCAGACAACTGGACCATGTGGTAATGGTTTGCAATGGACTTGCTCTGTGAGTTCCACCAGCATGAGGCCAGAGCTGTTACTCTGCTCTTGCAACACTACACTACAAAAAAAATAATCCCCAAAATGTCACCAGCCATTTGTACAATAATTACTGTCTTACAGAACTAACCTGACCAGCTTTGTTGAGATTATGTGTAAGGACAAAAGGAATTGTTGTCTTTTGATACAAACAGAAATCACACTTGTACAGGAGTACCCTGATCAGGGTAAGGTAAGGATTTTTAAGTGAGTTGTTCCAGTGGTACAGTGGAGGAGGATCTTCTCAGGGCATTCTTTATAATGGACCTATCTCCTCAAGAAGGGGAGGTTCAGGCACTTTTCATTCAAACACCTTCATCTGATTCACACTGTGTCTTCAACTGCAGAAACATTAACTGTGAGAGGCATAAAATGATGTTGCCAGGCACTGGACAGGTTTTGCCCTGGACGAGGGCTTCCCATTGTCACCTTAATGTACTCATTGCCTCTCAAAGGCACATTCCACATGGTTTTATCATCAATCTGACTATTCATCCATCAGCCATTCCTCCTCACAGCAAGCATCTCTGAACCCAGCAGGAAGCAAATTTATCAGAGGTATGGGTATCTAAGATGAAAAGAAGTTCCTAAGAGTTTGTCAAAAGCGGCATCTGGAAAAAGAAAAGCCCAACCTATTGCTCCTATGCAGGACAAGCAAGTGGAGCACAGTTATTGTATATCCTATACACAGTCTTCCAGACACTATCAAAGCAGGTGAGTTTTCAGCCTGCCTTTTACACATCTCCCAAATCCTGTTGCCTTTGTGTAAGGATTTACCTCAGCTCAGCTCTTCCCTTTCTTCTGCCCTATACAGTCCCTGCAGCTCTGCTCTACTGTTCATCATTTTCTCCCCTTCACTCTTAAATGTCCTCTCATGCTATCAAGTTACAAGCTACCTTCAGCCACAGAGGAAGACAAATGGTCCACTAGTTGTATAGTCACACACAAGCACCTGCCCACAGACAAAACCAAACCACAGTATTACTAAATGTACCTGAGGCATAAGAGTTTAGTCTGGATTTTCTTACCCTGTGTAATAAAAAATACTGGTATAAAAGAATCATGATCCACAAATAGCACTTGAAGCAGCTTGTTCACAGAAATATTTAACGCTAGTAATCTCCAGCAACTTGACCCTTTCTTATAGCATCTTAGAATCAGGAAGTGATACTGAACTAGTGCTGAAGACTCAACGGAATGCAATCTAAAATAAGAAGGGAATTACCTTCACCAAACAGCCACCAAATGAAAAAAAAGAACAACACCCCACAGTGCATAACGGAAACAGACATTTTGAAGAGCGCTGGTTTAAATCAACCAGGAAGGGACAGAAAAATCTCGAAAACAGTTTCAGTGATGCAGATCATGTTTCTGTTCACTCTAGTCAGCTGCAGACACCTAATTGATACAAATATTGATCTGAGTCTGAAGGACACTATTTCCATTGTGCCAGCATGATGGGTTATCAAAGCATTTGGCTGCAGGGCTTGAGGACATTGATCGGTAATGACAGCTTTTATGGGTGTTCTGTGGCATGGGGACAGACAGCAGCACAGAAATGAAATGGTGAGTTAATCTCATTTTTCATCATGAGATGGGAAGGAGATTCTTTATAGCACTGCAACTATTAAGTGCTTTAATACAATATTGTATTTAGAAAAGATAAAAAGCAACCCAATTTCTACCCTATTACATGGAGCAGTGTTAATTTTATCTGATGTGTATCTAACAGAATGTTACTATCCAAAAATATTTAATGGGAATGCTGAAACAGGGTAATATGTTCATATTCAGCCAGCCTGCAGTGAAACTGTCCTGATCTTCCTCTGCATCTTCCGTAAACTCTGCAGCAATTATTCCAAGAGATTAGAAGCGGATAGAAATGTAATGTATTTTCCAGAGTCTGTGTAAATATTAAGGTGTCTTTTGGTCTTGTCACTGTAGGAAGCACATGCTGACAATAGCAAACTACACAAGCTGAAGCACATCATTCTCCAGACCTTTAAGCTTGAAGTTTGGGAGAGAGCTCTCTATTTTGATACCCACCCCTCAGAGCTTCAGCTACTTCATCTGCACACAGCTGCTTTGTCTCTTTTTTTGTGTCTGTGGGGCTTTTTTGTTAGTTTTGGGGGGTTTTCTGTCACTGAATGGAGGTGATTCAGTGGGCAGGGGTGTGCTAGGTCACAAAAAGGTATTCACAGAGACCTGTCTTACCTGCTCAGAGAGAAAATGACATATTTACTGACTGAAAAGACTGCCTTCTTCATTCAATTTTTGAATATCAGATCTAAAGTCTGCTCATCCCCTTGCTCCAGTTCTCGCCTACAAGATGCCAATTCCAGTGAGTGACACATCAGGAGATAGAGCTTACTTCTTCACACTTTGTCACACTGGCTTGTACTTTCTGAGTGTACTCAGTACAGCATTCAGCAACAAGGCAGTTAACAATGCTGGCACTTAGCAGGTTCTGTTCTTATGGGGCTGGGGTGGATATTCATGCTTCTGTATTAATAATGCTCAGATGGGAAGGATAAGGTATCAGCAGCACATTGATTTATACTTCAAAGAGGATTAAAAACAAATGTGTGGAAGAATACTATTTCCACAGTTTCAGGATACCTTCAATCCATAGCACTGCACAGCTACTGATTTATAATTTCTTGGTTTAATGGTTATAATTATTGGCAAAGTTAATAGTCCACCTTCTTATATTCTACAAGATGTTTCATATTTCAGTATAAAAAATGAAAAATCTTTGTATTTCATTAGAAAGATTTCATATAGCTTATGGCAAGAGAGAGAAGAAATTCAGACTACAGTTATAGTATTGCAGCTGATGCAATTTATCCCAGAGACAGACATGCTAGGCAAGGAGCCACTAAAGGAAACTGCAGTGTTTACACAGAAAACACTGAGATATTAACACAGGATGACATTGTCACTTTTGGAGTGGTTACCCAACCCATCATAAAAAAAACATCTAAGAATCTGCAAACACACGTTTTTGGGACATGGGAAAGCATAGTTCAGAACAACCCAGGTATTAAGCCCAAACTCTGCTTTGCCATTGAAGCATAGCTTTAACAAGGACAATAGTCCTTTTTTATGGCAGTAAACAGTTTGAGAATATGCAAGTGTTAACATAAATCGTACCCAAATATAAAAATACTAACACGAAATCTTACATGTTACTCTACCAGGGATTTAAAACAACTTTTCAATTTCCTGTTATTTGCTCCATTTTTACCTTATGAAGGTAAAATGCATTTGCTTTAACCAACTTTACACTACAGACCCATCACCAAATTCTTCCTATTCCTTTTCCAACAGGGAAGTAAGTGACTAGCTTTCAGATTAGACTGCATCTTACCCTGGTATTCTGGTCATGCAATTAATAAGGAAACAAACAGCAAATGCAATCAGAACTTCCTCAAAATAGTAAAGACAGTATGCATATTGTATGGCAGTCCATTCTATCTTTGTTAGGTAATAATCAATCTGCTTTTGATAGTAGGCTGAAAATTATTTTAGGTTATGCAATAATACCATATTAGCAGCTGATGCCTGTCATTACTCCCACCAAAAGCATGCTAAAACAGAGATGCAGCTGACATTTCGTATTAGTAAGGCAAAGGTAAAAAACTCTGGATAGACTCAGCCATTAGTGTAACACCAAGTACCACACAAAAGAAATTCACAATTAAACATTTAAAGTTACTTTTTTAATGTAATCTTATAGTACCAGAATGCAGCTACTACACTCAGATGACCTTCACTCAGTCTTGCAATGATGTCGTATTGACCACAATATTACAGCACTTCAGTGCATGTGGTCTTAGATATAACTGACTTTTAAGCTTCAATGTTGACTAAACAACTTTGTTAAACTCAGCGTAAAGCCCTACAGTGTAAAGAACTGGAGTGTAAGGGACTTGGAATCTGGCATTCTGCATGGGGCAACATGCATGCTCTTTGAGAACAATGTGCTGGTTTTCAACATTATCACTACCATCTCTTTCTGAAATGGCTCAAACTTTTAACAGGGCAGTACTATAAAAATCTGTATAATTCAAGTGCTATCTTAACTTTTTGGAAGACTTTCGTTTGACAAAATTTGCAAGCAGACTGACAGGCCTGCAAGTGTCATAAAATGCAACCACACCACTTGAGGATTTAGCACTAACTGAAACAACTTGCTCTACTGCCGGAGCACTAAGAGCAGCAGTTAGAACAGCCCTCCTGATAGAAATCTAACTACCAACAGCCAAACCGCGCTTTATACCTAGTTATTACAAGACCAGCCCAAATGGCCTAACCATCTAAATGCTGATACTTTGGGGCAGAATTCTGTTGCCTAAGCACCTAACACCAGAATGACTTTTCAGCTGCCCCAGGGTGTCCTATCTGAGCTCCAGCCACTGCTCTAGAAGGGTGTTGTCTCCTGCAAGTCCTGTGTCATATCTACCAGGCTTGGCGAGATGTGTCAAATGCTGCTGGGCAGCTAAAACAGCACTAAGAAAAAGATGGGAGGGTTGTTCTATTGTTTATTCAATTCACCGCTAAAAGCCTATCCTCCTTATCTTAAACAAGTGTACCTAACTGCACAGTGCTTAACCACTTATCTGCCCCAATTCTTTTTTAACATCCGATTACCTTCAGAGTTCTAAGCTATTTCTTTGCAACAGCATCATGGCTTCTGACAGAGGATAAGAAAAAACAGGAAGAATCCCACCTCCCCAAAAAATGCATAGGGAATCATCCCATTTATCAGCTGGCCATGCAGAGAATTTTTACTTACTTTTGATACTTTCTTCTTCGAGCCATCAGTACTTTCTGCTTCTTCATGTTCCTTAACACCCTGGGTAAGATTTGTGTAGTTGACCAACTTGCCAAGCAGAGATGACACTTTTGGTCGTATATCAAGTTCTTCCTGTGGAAGAAGACAACTAGTCAACTTCTGCAATTCACAGCATTTATGAAGGGTGGCTTGGGTCACGCCTTCCTGGCATGCCTGAGGTTGTCAGAGAATGCACCAGGAAAATTATCCAGGGAGTGACAGAATATTTCATTGTGCCAGAACCACTGATGAAAGGATTTAATTTACTGAAAGGGGGCAACTCTTACGAGAAAAGGCTATGTACACAGGTCTGCACTGAATGCATCCTTCTCCTTAGGTGCTGAAAAGCATGAATCACAGCAATAAAGAAGTCTGAGCCTTGGGACTGTAAGAAAATTAATATGTACCTTGCCTATGTCCCTCATGCCAGCTTGTATCAACAGATATACTTTTATCAAGTGTCAAGTTGCCTAACAAATTACAGATTAAGTGATTAAACTCCGGTCATTGTAGGCATGCATGCACTGTGATTATTTTATTACATTATTCAAACTATGTTATCTAACTCATGTGGATCTAGGTAAAAATCCCAAAAGCCACACGCACAGAGGCCTCACATCTTTACATTTATCCCATCCAACTTCTCTTTCTGAAAGTAAGTTCTAGGGGAAAAAAGAAAGAGGGGAAAAAAATAAGAACAAAATCATTCCCTCCCCCTTTCTCTTCAAAACTAAATTGTCTTATGCCTCTAACTGCACAGTAAGTAATGCATGGTAAAGAGAAACAACTTTCTAAACAGGAAATAAAAAAAATATTAAGAAAGATTTCACTGTCTGGAGTGTTACCACATCTTCCTGTATCACCACGGACAGTTTCTGGTAGGATCAGCAGAGTTACATGCTATACCTGATTGAATCTGACCCCAAATGGCTAAGCAGATGCCACAAGCCAAGCACCCCTTTTGTGACTGTTTCCTCTGCTCTGATCTGCAGTTCATATCTTTAAAAACCTGACTGCAATTCCTTCCAGAAAGGGGCAGCACATGCTTCCTGTTCGGTTGAGCAGCATGGCATTTGGGATGCTCTTCCCTCTCTGCAGCACATGAGGAGCCCGCAGACCTGGTGTGGTACCACATTACTGCTTCTGAAAAAGGCAGGCATGTAACAGTAGCCATGCCACAAGCAGCCAACTCTGCATGACCTACAAGTGAGGTTATCCTGGTCACAGCTTTACCATGCCTTGGAGGGAGGAGAGCCTAGAGCACGCTTCAAAGTCTTTTAGCTCAAGCACGCTGCTGGCAAACATAGTTGTAGCCTTTCCACAGTAAGTGCCTATCTAGCAGCAGATAGGTTTACACTTGTCCAGGCTCTATGCCAAGCAGCTGAACTCTGCAGGTGTCAACCTGGCAGGGCGCAGGGCCAGTTCTGGTTGCCCCAAACTGAGTTCCCAGAGTGGGTAACGCCCCATCCCTGGCAGTGTTCAAGGCCAGGTTGGACAGGGCTTAGAGCAACCTGGCCTAGTGGAAGGTGTCCCTGCCTGTGGCAGCTGGTTAGAACTGGACGAGCTTTAAGGTCCCTAACCCAAACCATTCTAGGATTCTATGTTGCCAGTATTGCTGTGAAGCTGTAACTCGGATACCCAGCTGGAAAGCTGCTACAGAGCCATACAAAGACTCTGCAGCACTCCCCAGTACTGGATCTTCTGAAAACATATTTTAGAAACCATAATATATCCGTATTTAATGCAATGCAAGTGAGGTGAGGATGTGGAGGAAGATTCTGCTGGAGCTGGTGTGGCTCCAGCTGGCCTCCTACATGAGGCCCTGGTCCTCCTCAAATCCTCATGGAAATAGTCATTACTCTCTGCCTCACAGTCCCGAGTGGTCATAATATCTGTGATTTTTCATCACACAGGGTATCTCTGCCCATTGGTACCTTGGACAACAGACATGCACCCACAGAAAAGCACATGGGCGAGAAATCCATATTACTGACATTCTGTGGTAGTAATACAGCCCACCAGCTAATTTGACTGCCTGAATTTACAGAATAACACAGTTCTTCTTAGCACAGTAAATCAGCCCGTGCTCATTTTCCACTCTCATTAGCCCACAGTGCCACAGCTTCACTACTCAAATTATTCAGGTCACCTCTGGCACCACTGTGTTTTGCTGCTTTGTAGAGATAACCCTAAGCACACCAATGGCTTTAAGATTGGTCATGCAGTGAGAGTACAGAACCAACCCACCGCCTGGAACTTTGCAATGCAGTTAATGTGCTCAATCCCTTCCATCTTGTAAGCTCACAAATCACAATAGAAGTATAAAAAACAGTTTGAAGATACCTCAAACAATGCCAGATTTCTGTCATAGTAATCACCTCCCTTGCCAGCTTCTGAACTGTTCAGGAAAGGACTGTTTTCTTTATGGTTGCCATGACCTGCAAATTGAAAAAGAACCAGGTTTTGATAAGCACAGAAAGACGACTGTGTAACCTTGACAAAACCCACAGCGAATAAACTTGTTTGATCAACTGAATCTGTTTCTTTTTAGCATCTGAAGTTATGCAACGTTATCAATACCAGCAGGGGTGTTACTCTCAAGGTGGAGTTATTTCTATTTCCACTCCTCCATTTTCATTAAAATAGAATAAAAAATCACCTCAAAGTAAAATTTACAACTAGGATCACAGCTACACCACTATCTGTGCATTTATTCTCTAATGTTCCATTTAATAACTATTTCTTATACAGAACAATAATAAGTAAAAACAGTTCTTGTGCACTCTGAAATCATTACTAATGCTAAGCAGCATCGTAATGCTAAGAGCAACGTTTGAGCACTGCATCCAAACAGATTAGGTAGATTTAGTAAGACTAAACAAATCAAAAGCTATATATATTCTGCTATTACAATACACCAAAGCACCTCCATTTTGGGGGTTTTTTTTGTTTCTTTGGTTGGGTTTTGTTGTTGTTGGTTGTTTTCTTACTATGCACACTAATCCTAGATATCAAACATGCTCACTTCATGATACCCTTACCATATTTTGAACATTTAGACATTCAGACTCCTCTTATGCTTTTAAGTTTAAAACCTAATATCAGATACAATAAAAGTAAAGCATTCATTTACGTAATGAAAGTGGTTTGGTTTTTTTTTAAAAAAAGATAACATGGAAGATTAGTAGAGCAAGTGCAGAGGGGACCATGAAGATGCTCCAAAGGCTGGAGCTCCTCTGCTACGGAGATAGGCCAAGAAAGCTGGGCTTGTTCAGCCTCAAGAAGAGAAGGCTCCAGAGAGACCCTTTAAAAGTCTGCCAGTACCTAAAGGGGCCAACCAGAAATCTGAAGAGGGACTTTTTACAAGGCCATGTAGTGACAGGACAAGGGGGAATGGCTTTAACCTAACAGAGGGGAGATTTAGATTAGACATTAGGAAGAAGTTCTTCCCTGTGAGGGTGCTGAGGCCCTGGCACAGGCTGCCCAGAGAAACTGTGGCTGCCCCATCCCTGGAAGTGTTCAAGGCCAGTTGGGACGGGGCTTGGAGCAACCTGCTCT